GCTGCTTGGCCTGCTGTGTTCATCCAGCCCTGCACCTTGTTGTCTCGCCTTCTCTACCTGTTCAGAAAGAATATGAAATGGAAAAGATGGAATTTATTCTCATTTACCATCAAGCATGAGAGTGTAAAATTGACCCCCCAGTGTCTTTGGATGAGGTTGTGGGCTGCACACAGACTGTGTGGTCAGTTGTTATTATTTCCTGGACTGATCCTGTGTTTCACTGTATTTACCAGGTGAGGTTGCAGTCAAGTGGTTTGAGGCAGTGCAGACTGGTCTACCTATGTGTATTCTGGGAGCTGTATTTGGTCCTCTCCACCTGTCTCCCAGGTGAGTATTGTTACTTTGTGAGAAACTGTTTGGAGTTCAGACTGAGTTTGAGCCATCCTGTTTTTAGGCAAGGGGAGACCTGGGCATTTTTGGAGATTTCATCCTGCTGAGGCATCACACTGTTTTATCTTAAAAAGCTTTTACACCTTTGGCTCTGTAGCTACACAGAACGTTCAGTTCCTAACCTTGAACTCTGTAGAGAATGTGGAGAGTTCATGCTGGTGGTGGTGATGAGCTCCTTTACATTGAGTGATCTACTCAGCCTCTTCATTGGCTGTTCAAGTAAAACACGTTGACGTGTGACTGGAGTACATACAGGACAGACTGGGGAATGTTCCTTAAATGGATGCTACTACACTATTAGCTTTTCATTTCCAGATTTAAATTCTGCAAGGCCACTACCCCAGCTAAAACCAGAGAGGCCAGACCAGACAAACATCTGATTAAAAAGCTTCAGTTCCCCGAACAAGACTGGGAGAAGTGAGCAAACACTCACTCACCTGCTGCGAACTTACATATTCTTGTCTCCCTTACAGGAATATCCAGGTTTTAGTAACAGACTTAATCCCGTGGGCTGTACGGTGCGGCAGGACAGCTCACTGTATGATGAACTTCTACTATGAGAATCGATGGGAACAGAGTCTTGAATCACTCAGAGAAGAGATTGGGATACTACCCTATCCGACTGTTCAATCATAACATAGACATATTGGGAACACAGAAGAGTGAATTTAATTGTGTGGAAACAACC